GAGATCAGAGTAGAAGTTGTGGATGACCTAATCCATTGCCCTTCTGGATGCGGTGATTGCTCCGTCCGGACGTCGGAGGGCGGTCATCTTGGTCTTGCAGTTGGCGAAGTCGCGGCGGGTTTTGCGGATGCTCTTCCCCGCCTCTGCGGCTTCCAACAGTACAGCTGCTCTTCTCTCCTTGAGGTCTTCCTTTATCGCTTCTCTGCATAGCTTCGCAAGCTCAGACGTCAGCTGGTAATTGCCTGCGGCTCGTGCGGCTCCACGTTGGCGAATCAGCTCAAGAGTTTCCAGAGATAGACGCTTCTTGGTAATCTCGGAACTCTCTGACTTCTCGGCGCAGTCGTGAAGGTGTGCGACAAGCCGTTCGTATTCCTTGTCGATGTTGTCGATTATGGAATCCTCCCAGAGTGCAGCGAGAGAAGTGAAGTGATCCCAGTTGATGACGGACTTGGGGTACGCTTCTTGTAATTGCGGCTCTTTCTCTTCGCATCGCAAAGCGGAATCTCGCGCGAAGGAGACGGTAACCGGAATGGTAAAAGGTTTTTTGGGTAGGCTCAGGACTGACTTGAAATTCACTCGACATTCATGTTGTGGGCCTCAACTTGTAATAGGTGCATTCCGATTGTACCGCCGACTCGACGGTGTTGGTGTAAAAGGGCACTGCAGGTAACACGGAAAAGGAGGAAAATCTGATGGATGATTCATCTTCGCCACGGCTGGCACTGCATATGCCGACACTGCTTATGGAGCCGCGTCGTTTTAACGCTAATCTTCTGACCACCCTCAACCGGGCAAAATCACAGGGATCAGAAGATTGTGAAAGGATACGCCTTCGAAATTGAGGCGCAGAAAAAATACTGCAACTTCGGCGTGGAATACCTTGTACATTGCCTTTTTTTTGCAAGAGACACCCACTGAGATCTGCAAATTTGAGCGTTCCATGTCTAGTGGAAGTGTAGACTTACTTGTATTCAGCTCAAAAACGCAATATTTGCATTTTTCCACACGAGGATATTGTCTGAGTGCTCGGTTGTAGACGACAAGGAATGCCTCAATAGATAGTCCCAGTTGAACTTTTTTGATACTTGAATCACTTCTAGATACGGATTATATTCGATTATAAATGCCGGTCGACCTGAAAGTACCACAGCTCAGAGCATACGCACCTCCTAAAATCCGTACTCTAACATACCTGGTTGACACGAATGCAATTCAACCAATTTGGGCATGCGGAGGTGTTGAATTTGTGATTTTCTTAGTGTGATGCACATTTCTATGGAAACAACATCCTCAAAGAGCTCGTCGACAAGTTCTTGGTTCAACTCCGAGATGTCAAGCTCGATCATTTGGTTTTTACGAGGCTTCCACATCTTCTTACCACCGCACAGCTCAACGAAATGTGTAGCGTTGCGAGTATCATGTGGTGTAATCGAGTAGCACTCTGAAGCAGAACGTTTCAAACAGAAGCTTTCCAATCAGTCGAGAGCTGTTGTCAACGGTGACTGGATTACGCTCTGGTTCGCTACGGGTACTGAAGTCCGTTAGGGAGCTGGCTTTCCTGTCGTCCTGACACCGTTCTCCACCATTTTTGGAAGCTGGGCAGCCATAATTGGTGGAAAACGGATTGGCGCGGCTTCAAGCCCAGCCCACTTGACACGGACTTCTGCCCGCAGCGAGCGAGACTGCACCCGATGTGTTACACTTTTTCTCAGACTGTGATTCTGAACCCTTTATTAGCTTTGAGGTCATTCACAAAAGTGTTCTGGTCACAACAGTCTTGACCCGAAGTTCTGTCCTGATGCATTCCATTTCAGAATCTCCCTTTCTTCAGAAACAGATTGGTCACTTTCTACCAGCACTACACTAACCCGAAGATCTATCATTACTCTATTCCGCGACAAAATCGTCACTACAGTTTGTACACTTTTGTCACCTTTGGCTCTCCAGCAGTTTTTCTGCTTTATTACCCGGGCTCGGCACCAACTTCCTTCCTTTTACGTGGTCATCTTCGGTAGAGTGCTGTTCGGTCAACTCAGCGATTAAGGTGTAGACACCGGGTCTGAACTATAAGGACGGTGTCCTGCTGTCCCACCTAAACCCTTGCAGGAGAGCTACTTCCTTTTGGGTGACGTGGGGCCAGGATACAGCATCTCCACAAATTTCTGCCTTCGGTGCGACCCCCACAGTTTCGAGTGGGCCATTGTATCAAGGCAATAACTCGTTTTCCGTTTTGCACGTGCTCATGATCTTTTCGCTGCGGATGGTGAGTCGTGTCAGGGGGCTGGGTTTACGCAGCGCCAGCCTGTTCGCCTCCAATTGTAAAAGAGGAAGGCGACAACAGTTGGTGTAAAAGGTGCTGGCGCCGTGCCAATCTCAGCCATCCTGACATGTCCAAGTGTGCGCAACGAATAAGACTGTATAGCTAGCGTGAAACGCATTGCGTATTTTATGGAATACGGTGCTCATCTGTAGGCTCTTAGCAGACATCCCATCATTTTAGAGTTATTTGGACGGACTTCTCATAGGAGCTGAACTGCTTGTTATAATAACTCTCTTATACACACATGCTTGCCTACATTACCTCTGTATTTTTGAAGAATACAGAAACGACATCTATCCCTGATAGAGTCGATTGTTTGATCGCGTAAAACAAAATTGTTTCGCATCTCAACATTTCTCAGGACGTTCAGTCGACCGAAGCCCTCAGAAAAGTAGACAGACAATTTGACCGACCTCAGGTTTTCGTTATGCACTACTCGCAAAGCGCGATCACCTGAAAATGTCTCGATTTCTTCAAAATTTCTGCGTATTTTCACGATTAAATTCTTTTTGTTACATAACATCGATAGGGATGGGATCAACAGGGTGCGCGTTAATGTGACGATGAAGAGTGGAAATAAGATGAAGATGATTGAAGGAAAAAGCCTACATTCTTCAATGAACGCTCCTAAACACAGTATGGCGTGATTCGAAATGTACGTACAAGGTAACAGTACTTCACAATCGGACTTATTGCACGGCTTACTTTCAGGGTAGTGGTTTTCACTACGTCTGAAATCTAAACACGCTAGGACACGTCATTGTGGGTTTCCCAGCAGGGTAGGGGGGTCGTATTGGCTCTAAGAAAATTTTTTTATAGTTGGTTTTTCTTGTTTCACGGTCGCTATCAGGTGGGAGGGGTCTTTTTTGCTCGTTGTTGGGTGAAGGGGGAGGGGGTATTTGCTCGTATTTGCCGTCTGAAAGAAATTTGCTGAGAAAAACTTCTCCGGTTGTTGACTCTCCTGTTTCACATCTGGTATATACCCCCTATCCTTTCAAGAGCAAAATTTTGGAAAAACGTCTGGGAACTTCAGAAAAAGTGGTGGGAAGTTGGAAAAGAGAGAGGCAGTTAGGATGGGTAGGGGGCGTCGTATTCCCTCGCTTTTTTCCCGCTTCACATGTAACGAAATTACAATGAACCTGACAGTTTTGGAGTGAAGTGTCACTTTCTACAAGTGCAAAAGAATATACAGTCAGCTCGCCAAAAATATTGAAAAAAAAAGAGTTCGGGCATTTGCAATGTTCACTGTTACACGCGCTTAGAGTAGTTGAGCTCAAATCAGCCTCGACAGTTTGCGCAACGATTCCCCGAATGAACTTGGGCAGGAATCTCCTCACTCAGAGGTCCAAATCCCTTGTGCGAGAGCCACTCCTTCTCTCAGGCTTCCCGTTGAGTTTGAACGTTGGACTGTTCACGCCGGGGGGGGGGGATTCCCCAAGCTTTGTCTTCATACAGAACAGGGCACCAACACGCTATCGCCATTCAAGATGAGATGCATACGCCCATACTTTCACATCTGCTATACGATCTAAGAATGGCCTTACGAGATCTTTCTTGCCTGTGCTTTGCAACGTCAGCGCCGATGTGAATCTTTGAAGCATCAATGCCGTTATGGCTTAAAGGTGAATCTAATAGGCTGACGGTTTCGCGAGCTGTAATCAGCTTCCGGCATTGATAAGTGCATTGTTTTGCTTGTTCGTGGAACGTATCTAAATGATCACAAATGTCCTCACAAAAGCTTATTGAGTGCTGAGAATGTTTAAGGAGAACTCCATTTCAACTCGAGGGTGCACATGGCTTAGCGCATTGCACGTCAGTACCGTTTTTGAGTCAGAAGAGCGTGATATTCGTATTTGGCTGGAAAGTTCTGCCACTTTTTCGAACTCGAAAGACTTGTCCTTTACCTGAAGGGGGGTGAACGGTAATGTGAGCACTTATACATGAAAGAGTGGTCTTTCTATTACAACCACTCGCTTGATTCTGCTTCTTCTTTTTCTGCAATATGGACAAGAATGTTATCCGCTACCATCGCCACCGACCCCTCCAAATGCTTCTGCTAGTGCAGCTCACTTCCAAAAAAGTTCAGCCGTTCCTCATGCAATAGAGCTGGATGGCTCTCCCCTTGCTGTGGTGTAGCACAGATATTGCTCCTAACTGCGAGTTGCCCCCCGTAATCAATCATTACTGGACGAGAAATTACGACAAAACCTCGAAAAGTCTGAGTTCAGGCCAAGATTGAGATGATGTCCAACTTGGTATCGCGCCTGCCTGCATTGTGAAGCGATGGCATCCATGAGGTGCTCAAAAACAGGCAAGGACCCCGCAGTAGCATTGCTGTACAATTTTGATCTTACACTCCTCTTTATAGAACGAAAGCCCTATTTGAAAAAAGTGACAGAACTTTCCCGCCAACCTAATATAAACAAGTCACAAAGCTCTCTAGGATTCTGGCCGAATCTGATAATTCAAGACTAATTTCCAGAAGTGCCCGAGTCGTTAGAATGGCAAACCGTCCATATCGATACTGAGATGGTCCTTGCTCTCGATAATAGAAAAAAACTAAATTGATAATGGAGTGAAAGTTAGCTGACCGGAACTTGCAAGGCGGAGCTTTCAAGCATGGAATGTAAGCAGGGTTAAATAGGCAACGCAGGTAGTCCTGCAAGGATATATAACATTTTCACTTCAAAGTCAGCACTCTTCTAACCAAAATCACAACATTCCAAACTAAATTCACCACTTTTCATACCAGATTGACCACTTTTCAAACCAAATTCACCGCACTTGTTAGACCGAGCAATTAATCAACCATATCACGCTGGACACAACCGCGAGCCCTGTCCCGGCGGTCACGCCTACTTGTCAGCCCGGTCATAAATGTTCAAACTTAGCTTCATGACTTCTCCTTCTATGACTTTTTTTATCATTTCCTGTTTCGTACATACACTTTGATTGAAAAGGACTGGACATTGACACATAGCCTACCCTGCCCATTTCCCAAGGAGTTTGTTGCGAACTTCGAATTTTCGTAACTTTTTCAAGTTTGTCGATTTCACATCCACTCTTCACAAAACGGAGGTACACTTACCGGCGAGGTCGTTCGGGACGTGGAGCGCTTTCTGTATTTCAATCGTAGCTCTTTTTCTCAACTTCGTTACTATTACCTATTACTCCCACTCTTCACACAGCGAATGCACTCGTAGACGCGCATTTATGCACTGGCACATAAGGCTCCGCCCTTTTAACCACGCCCTTTTTTGCGCCTTCTGCAAAATCTAGGCGTTTTTTCAAAATTTCGCGTTACTGCTGGGTGAAGCCTACCATGAGAAGCACCGCCCACGTCGTAGGAGCCCCGCCACGTTTTGAAAAATTGGACAAATCGGCAGGATAGAATTTCAGCTCGCATATTGGGGTCTCGCTCTATAACCTTTTCCTGGTTTTTCCAACGAGGGATTAACGAGACCCTGGCAGTATCAAAGTTAAAGGCGCAAAAAAGGCGTGGCTGAGGGGCGGAGCCTAATATGCCAGTGTATGCATACGAGTCTGCGGGTACTTTCATTGTATGAAGAGTGGAAGTAAAAATACGAACCCTAGTGAACATTAGCGTTTAGGGGATGTCATTGAGGAACAAGGGGGTTCAATGTACATTACCCTCGTGTTCAAAAGAAGAATCAGACCCAGTTTATGATATCGTGCTCTACCATGGTGCCAGGTGTTTACAGCATTGACCTACTGAAATTCTGCATGACACCAATAGTTTTTCCAATAGTAAAATTGACTTACTGCAGCTTCTCGGTTCCGATGATTCATTTCTTCTTGACACTCCCTTTCAAGATCTTGCTGCAATGCAGTGCATTCTTCGAGAACTTCTGTTCTGTTCTCTTCGAGAACTGCTGTTCTTCTCGTGGACGGGAAGAAATGAACTTTTTTTGAAATTCGTGGTTTCATCAGTTCCGTCAAAGAAACACTGGCAGTTCTGGTCTAAACCCAAGACTTTCTTTCAAAATGACTACTACTATTACTTGTTGTGGAATCCTATCCTACCCTACTATATATAATCCGCTAAGTTTGTCTGATGGTGTGTGTGTGTGTGTGTGTTGGTATATCTGTGTGTTTGACCGGAAATTCATAACTTCCTCCAAAAGAGCGATAGTGCGCTCAAACTGATAGGTGGTGTAGGGTGTCGGGCAGGAACACTATTGGCGGGTGGCAGGAAGTGATAACAGCTGATAAGATACCACAAGGAGCCTTAGAAGGAGTGGGTTACCTAATTCACAACACCGGCCAGAGCAACGACCGGACGTTGGACCCAAGTAGTAAGATATGATAACAGCGATGCCACGAGGAGCCTTAGAAGTGTAGGGTCCTATTCACAACGTCGACCCCAGCAACAACGGGACCTCGGTTCCAAGAAGTAATAGAGGGTGGCAGGATGGAAACATTATTGTTGGTGGCAAGGCGTAAAAACAGCTAATAAGATACCATAGGGGACACTTCAGAGAGGAAACCTCAAAGTTCAATGCACGAGTTGTAGCACACTGGGGAACTCATTCCAGTAAGCAATTTAGAGGTGGTTAGGGAACATTGGTGATGGGAGATAAGTTGTTACATAATGTACGAGAAGGCTCAGTACCTGTTCGCAGCTTTAGCTTTACTTCGCTTGCGACTGATGTTGATCACCGTGGCCCATGGAATCAATGGGCAAAGGTTCAGTGTTTGTATCCTTTAGTGTTATGGTCGGAATTGATTCGACCGCTAAACTCTCGAGTTTCGACGAAAAGTAAAAGCCTGAAGAGGTTGCCCGTGGGGAATGATAGAGCCACCAACAGGCGGGTATGTGAAAGCTGCTCTACGGATGTATTTAACACAGCATATTTCACTATGATTTTGATATTGTTACCTTTTAACCGCTAAGCCGTTCTTTTGCCAACGAATGATCTGTGTTTTCAGAAATCTGATAAGCACATTGGCAGTTACTCATTAAGGAGAATAAATATGGAAATATGATGAAATGGGCGAATTTTGAAACATGGGAACTAGACCAAGTGTTAGGGGTAAGCGCAAATCCTGTCATTGATCAGGACCACAGACTGACCCATGCGCGCAGTAGTGCACGTCAGCCAAACTGGTATTCCAAGGATCCTTAAGTGTGACTTAACCCTCTGCTTGAAGCCTCTTGTGTTCGTTTGACTTCTGAGCGGGTGTGCTCTGTTTTCCACTCTATATCTCTGTACTACAGAAAGTCAATAATATTAGGGTGCCCCAAAAGTTCGTGGCACTTTTAAACTTTTTTTCGAGTCAAGTTTGCTTCAATGAGAAGCACTCGGATTAACAATTTATACATTACGTTCATCGTTAACTTGTTGCCAGCTATCAAGGGATGAGTGGTTGCCTGCTTCCAGAAGCTTTTCGAGTCCGTTCCGAGAAAGACAGCCGGGCCATTTTTGACGGCTTTAGAAAATCTTGTTTCTCACCCAGAAGATAGCTCCTAAGGAAATAATTTAGATGACAGCCATAAAGAGCCAAAGAGATTCTAGGCAGTACCCGCATGCGCTCCCCTTTGTGTATCGGTCATCTCATGAAAAAAATTTTGACCGAACTTAAATACTTTTTTGAGGGAGTGAGGGCCTCTGTAATTTGTGTTTCTGGAGCAGTCATGTGTGAGGACTAGATAGCGAGCTGATTCGTACAAATAGGTTCTGATCAAGGAACACAGTAGGGCCAAATCCAAGGCAGGTGGCCTCCTTGAACGACGTTTTTCTCCCAGATAGAAGTCACTCCAGTGGGCCATTTCGTACTGTGGAAGGTACCATCAGGACCTAACTCAGAGAAATACCTCTTGTGGCTCCAACCACGTTGTGCCTTGGTGGAGATTCTTATATGTATGTAGCTAAGTGTGTCGAAAATGATGAATTTCAACTACTGTTTGCATATGAGAACAGCGACTGCGAGGGACGCTAAAGAAGCTGTGGGATGCTTTTTTAACACACTTTCCATAGACCACATAACTGAATCTCGAAATGGCTGCAGAAAGATCTAATAGTGGATTCAAAAAATGTCACGAACTTTTGGGACAATCTAAGATTTCTGCTGAGTGGTACGGACCTTATGGTGCGAACGGGAAAAAGCGAATTTTACATCGAGAGAGGGTCTCTTTTTAAAATTCCTAATCTGCATAATGCGACAAAACTCTGACCAATTATATTATTTCATCTTAATCTCACGCTCTTCGACAATTCGGCTATTTTTGCTTTTTAGATGAACAGAAAAGGTCAACACGTCAGCCCGGCCATTTCCAATGTGGTGTACTCGTCTTGAGATGTTGAACTCAAAACTCCCTTCGTAATTTGCGGAACGATTCTCCTGATGGAGTTATGGGAGGTTTTGTCCCCGCGTGGTTGTTTTGCATGCTGTCGCGAGAAAACGTGGAAGTGTCCCCACATACAGTCCTCATCATTGCGGACCGGTGGGGCGTGTCAGCCGGAAGGAGTGTGCACACTGTTGAAGCCGTTCTCAGCCTTTTTGATGCAACGCGTATGCGACAAAAAGTGGTAGAAAACGAGTAATTCGAAGGATATTATACAGAAATGAACTTGCCCGCTCCAAAAACTGGTGCAGAACGTCTTTGCCAAACCGCACCAAATGCAGCCGCACTGCCACGCCCCACCGGTCCGCAATAATGAGGACTGTACGTGTGGAGAATCGTACTGTAATGTGGTAGTGGAAGCAACAGTAGCGAGCGCATTCCCCAAGCGAGAGTCAAGCGAGAGTTTTTCCAAGAACATGGTCGACAAAGCTTCACATCTCTGCTCGCCTGCACTAGCCTGTAAGGAATTCTGCGACCGTTTTTTTCGGAAGTGTAGGCACAGTAAGACCTGAAAGAATTTCTCTGCTTCTCCCCTCATAACACATGTCACAACGGTTTTTGCAATAAAATAGGATGGTGCCATGTTCAGCGGCTCAAGTTACCTCTGGACAAGTCTCTGCCGAATCTGATATTTCGCCAGACTTGGGATTGTGGGTTGTTCTATGAGTGGTTAGCACAGACTGGCCACCCACCATCCGTGACTGGTTCCAGCATCGAATTTCCTCCTGGTAATCTGGGAAATGATCCGACAGCTGGAATAAGTGAGCCAGGTACTGTTCTCTGCAAAAAGACATTACTGAAGAGTTATTTTAGCCCGAAGACTAGTCATCAACAGGCTAGTCGCAGTATCGTTGTCAAGTACCAGTCAGCCATGACTAACCTATTTGTTCGAAGTTGAGTGAGAACCTCAGGTTCTGTCATAGTGCCGCCGCTAGGAGTTATTTGACTTTCTGAACACGAATTTGTTGCCTGCTTTGCACGAAGCGCTTGTGTTTCGCGCTACAGATGCCAACTTTTGGCACCAGCGTGCCTTGAAGGGAAAAAATAGCGAAGAAAAATCTCCATGGTTCCGCTCAGATTATCGTTCCGCAAATTTTGAAGATAGTTTTGAGTACACTATCTGAAGACGAGTCAAACGATGTGCACCTCATTGCGAATGGCTAAGTTGACCTGTTGACCTTTCCTGATGAGAGGTGTTTTTAATAGGAAAAGTATTTTGAAGTAAATTCCAACGTCATAAGCTAGTAATTAACGCGCACCCTGTGCGGGACGGGAACTCTCAAAGCTCTACTAAAGATCGCTAATCTATCTTTGATTGGTGTTACTATGTTGAACTTGAGTAACCTGGAAAAGGAGGAAGTAGTCGCAGTAGTCTTGGAAAAACGAGGCTAGTCCATGGGACTCGTTGCACCGATATAGTCATGCTGACGTGGGTAGCCTCAGCGAATAGTCTCTCGAACTGTTCTTCTGATAGCTTGTTGGCATGTAAAGTCATCGAACTCATTGGCTTGACTTTGATGATCTTCTCTCCTGCACATTTCTCTACCAGACTATTGTAATCTCTGAATTCAGCTGGATCTAGAGCGCTGCATTCTGAAACGACGACAATTGACTTCTTCAGAGGATGCTGTCGTCTCTGTAGTTATAAGTTGGATAAGGTCACACAAAAATTCAAAAGCTTATTCCATGTGGTTCACCAGAACTTTCTTGCACCCAGATGCGGACATAAAGGCACGGTCCGCGATCAGGGATCGAAGTCGAATATATGGCGTCAGGAGGTTAGTGTGATCCGCGAGGAACAACCTTGTACCGCTTTTGTGGAAAAAATTGTAATGAGGGGCGCTATAGCGCAGTATAGGCTCAGTGGTTCCTCCTTTTTTCCAGTCACTCCGCCTCCAGACTCCGCCTCCAACACCCAGCTTTCAGTGGAAAACGAGGTTGTAGGACGAAAAGCATGAAAATCGTCACTTCTACGATCGTAGAGTTCTTATAGGTGAGTCAGTTGTGCATGGCATAGTAAAGGGAGTAGAATTAACTGGAAACGTACAAACTGGGGTTAAAATGGGGCTCTAGGGTAGGTAGCATGTTTTTGTGCTTTTTTTCTTCACTGTCGAGTTACTCAATTCATTTGTCTATATGGAAATCCCTAATCCACGATCTGAGATTGCGAATAATCGGGGGGTGCCTTCAAGGATGCTACATGGCGGATTCCGAAGGGAAACCCGTGAAAATTCTCGAAAATACATGGCGCCTGCTTATCGGTGACTTCAGTTGCTTTACCGAGACAGTACGAAGAAACTGAGACCCAGATTGGACGCTATCTGCTGATGTCATATCAAATTCAGATGCATACAATTTTCACATCAAGTTTACGACTTTGCAAAACAATTTCACGACTTTTCAAAGCAAATTCAGGAGTCAGTTACCAACGCTTCACTTTTCACTTTTGAAGCCTCGGCCCAACAGCCACGCCAGCATTTGAGCCTGATTTCTCAAATGATATTTCCTAACTTTTGCTTTTGTGAAGTTTTTGCGCTTTTGTTATTTCGTACATACACACCATCTGAAATAGAACTACATCGGCACACGAGCAACTCTGCCCCATCTTGAAAAACTTGTCGCAAATTTCGATTCCAGAACTTTTTTGGCGTCGTTATTCTTACTCCTACTCTTCACACAACGAAGGTACTTGCACACTCGCATTTATGCACTGACATATTAGGCTCCGTTCACTAACCATGGCCACTTTTGCAGTTTTTTTTTGAGAAATTTTGATTTTCTCGAAATTTTCGGATCGCTACATGTAGCCCTGCCTACCATGTGAAACTGGAATGCAAGCTGAGCCTCCATCCTGCCGATTTTCACCATTTCTCAAAATTGGGCGGGGCTTATCTTAAATGGACGGAGCTTCTTACAGTGGGTGAGGCTTCACGCAACAGTCCAAGAATGCGAAAATTTTGGGAAACTATCGGAATATTGCAGAAGGCACAAAAGTGGACATAACCAAGGGGCGGAGCCTAATATGCCAGTGCTTAGATACGAGTCTACGAGTACTTTCGTTGTGTGGGGGAGCGGGGGTATAAGTAAGGACATTGAAGAGAAGTATTGAGTCGAAGTTTGCAACAAATCCTTTGAAAAGTGGGCGGAGTGTGCCGAAGTGAGTCCTTTTCAGCTAGTGTGTATGTGAGAAATAACAAAAGTGCAAAATGTTACCAAAGTAGAAGTTATGAAATACCTTCTGGGAAATCACGGCCGCGCTGAGATGTGCGTGTGACTATGGGGGCTAGGGCTCACAGTAGTGAATAGTGCGGCATGGCTAACCAAAACTTGAACTTGGTTCGAAAGTTCGTGAATTAGTTTCGAAAAGTCGTGAATTTGGTTGAAAAGTCGTGAATTTGAGGTGGAAATGGTATACCACGTCTTCGTTTCCTTCGCTAAAATAAATACCATTTTTTTTTCTTATCGCGATCAGGAGGCGGAGGTGGTGTAGTGACAAGTGGCGCGCTTACCACTCGCGCGGCGCCGGGTTCAAGTCCCGGGTCGACTCCCGCCCAGGCCAACCAATCCTTCTACCCTCCGGGGACGGTGAATTGGTACCAGATTCGTCTGGGAGGATAAAACACTGACTTGTACATCGGCTGGCCACCGCAACTCATTGTATAGGCTACATCGCATTCGGTAAGCCACACCGATTCTGAATGGAAGTGGAATGCGTGCCGCATCCCACAAAGGGATTGATCAACGGCGAAGACTTTATCCTTCTTATCCTTTATCGCGATCAGTTCTCTCTTGTCATGATGTGGCTACCAATTTCGAATGTCACACCCGATATCACCCTTCTCCCGTTCCTCTTCCCTCCCCTAAAGGGGATATCCTGATTACCTGGTGGGTGGAACGTTCTCCATATGTGGTAAGCCCATAGGTTAGCAACTTTGCCAGCCAAACGCTAGGAGCCATAATAGTGTGTTCGCCTCCCTCACTTTGACTCCATCACAAATGAACAGATATCGACCCTCAGTACTTGTGGGACGACGCGCTATATGGCAAGAAGCCCGTCTATTTTGGGCTTCTTGCCCCACGTGCCGCTGAGTCTCTGGGTCTTTATAGGCTCAAGCTTGTTCGGCCTTGCGGAATACTCGGGCTTCAGTAGCAGGTTGACCAGCACCTACAAGTTTGTGTCGGAACAGCCATCTACGACTTGCAATGGGGAAAAGTGAAGGCACAAAGTTCCACAGCATGGTGCGGGTAATTGGGTCGAATAGATCCATAAGCAATAAGTGACGCGCCATTCAGGAATAGGAAGCAAGGTAAACAAACTCCACCCTGTTTTAGACTCTACTTGTCCTTGGACGACCGAGAGGCGACAGTGTTAGAGATCGTATCACTCACTATACGGCCGCTGCGCACGCAGGCGGCTGCACAGTGATACGGTTGTCTGGTGTATAAGACGCGTTCATCGGCAGCCAGTGGGGAAGCGCCCGACAATACACGCTAGAAGTTTCTGGACACAACAGCTGCTTTTTTTCTATCTCTGACCTTCCACCTGACTATTAAATGCTTCATGATCATTCCCATAGATTATACAAAAAAAAGGGAAGCGAGGAAAAAAAATTTGCGACCTCTATTGCTGAGGTGCACCCTGTACACAGGTTGGCTTTACGACCCAGAAAACAGAGTGAGCAAAGTTCTTAGTTGCAATGGCAAGGTTAGCACTCCGCTCTTACTTCGGCAGTCGTTACCCTAAAGAGCTCGATCCATCTGCGGTTTTTCAAACTCGGTCGCTTTCCTTTCAGTGGACCGACATGTTCTCTATTACATAACTCTTTTCATTACATAATTCTGTCCTCGGCAATAAGGCACGCTCCGCGTCACTTGCCGCTCACCGCGCACAATCTCGACGAAGACGCAGAAGGCCATAAGGTCCGTTCGCCTTCCGTTTGTAGCGCGACGAGCGGCAAAATGGTTACGGCACTTGGCGTAGCTACAGTCTTCGTGAACGCTACCCTTAGTCCCCACGTTCTCCCTTGTTGTATGCATGGTGTCGAATGTTAAGTTGGTCCTGCCAAACGAGGTTGTTAGGTGAACCTTTTATTGGCCTAACGTTTCAACCTTCTCATCTTCTTCAGAGGCCTGAAAATGGCTCGAAGCTTTTGATTTTGTAACTTAGCCGACCAAACGCCTTCCCCACTCTAACGTTTCCGACGTCATGTCGCGAACGCTCCCGAACAACCCGGTATAACTGCGAGCAACTCACCGAAGGTACCAACGTGCGGAGCCCAGCTCTCGCTGTCTGTTAGTTGGATTAGTAAGGACGAATGAGACTCACTCGAGCCCCATCGTGTCGCATAAGTCAAAATTGTGATAGCGCACGTGTCCTTGTTGTAGCTCGCATTCTGATACAAACGGCAGGAATTCATTTGTAATAGACAAGCACTCGTTTCGGCCGTTCATCCTCGGTTTCCTCGCGAAGAACCGGAACTATTCCAAAACTTTCCTGAACGAGATATCCGTCTCGTAAGCCAATATACTACACTTAACATCAAAGTCATTCCCGTTGTGCTCTTCAACTTTATGCTTGCCAAGAGGAGTGGTCATTATACCACGCCATTTTCCAGCTAGGTCTTCCTTGAGGCGCGTAGCTGAATCCTTTCCTGTTTCCCCGATGTATGTGCTGTTACAAGGCCTGCATTCAGTTGATAAACTATTCCAACTTTTTCACGATCTTCTGACCTTCCAAATGGGCAAATATAGCAGTCCGGTGTGACGGACTGCCTGTCTATTGCGGACAAGTTGCCGTTTGATGCTGCCATTGGGAATATTCACCAAGGCAACATCTTCCTGTAACTGTGCTCGCACAATACTGCTGTGTATTTCAGTGCTCACTTCATCGGAAATGAAAGGAAGGCATAAGGGTAATTTCCCCTGGCGTGGTCTGTGTCTCAGGCTATCATTTGGTGTTCTGCGTTGTGGTCGTACCGCATAGCCATTTTCTCTAGCAATTTTTGAAGCTAGAGATCTTGATTCTAGACGTTCTTCATCGCCAGTGCACATCTTCGTTGCTGTAGTGACCATGTTCCGAATGACTGCACGTTTCACAGCAGCAGGATGTGACGGCGTCGCATGAATCAGGATATTTTTACAGCTAGGCTTGCAGTACCACTTTGCGTTAGCAACGCCACTGGACAACTTCACCTGCGTGTTTAGATATGGTAGCCAGCCTTGCTTACGTACTTCTCGTGTGAGCCTTATATACTGCGACTGCTCATTCAATAATCGGAAACACTCATCCATTTCGGATTGTGTTGGTGTTATAATGAAGCAGTCGTTGCAGTACATCAAAGGAGAGCGACCCAGTACTGGTTCTTCAGTTCTGCTCATAAAGCAGACCGCAAGTACTGGTGCTAGTCGCTGACCCATTGCCAAACCCCTAACTTGAGAATAGTACCGCCCTGACCATTTGAAGATATTACAACGCAGGCATTCCTCGACTAGAGTCATGATGTGTGCTCTATTTAGTCCAAAGGTGTCAATGGCGGTCACATGCTCATCCAAATTTTCAGATAAAGCCTGTAACGCTTGTTCGTTTTAAACGTTCGTATGAAGCGAGGTGACATCGAATGACTCCACTACACAACTTGATCCGAAATTCGAACTGTGTAGTTTGTCAAGGAAGTGGTTCGTGTTGGCCAGGTGAGAGGGGATCCTGGTAAGCAGCTGGCTCACTATTGCATTAAGGTACCATGATATCCGGTCGGTTGGTCCACCAACGCAGCTTACGATAGGTCTTATCTTGTATGTGTCCGGTAACATTGATAACATGTCGCTGGGAGCAAGTTTGTGGGTTTTGATTAGACTATAGAAGACCGGGCAAGCGGGCTTGTCAAGTCTAATGTTGTCAAGAACCTCCCGTCGATTCCGGCAGACTTTCCTACCATCATCCACACGTGATTGAGGTGTCTGCATTGGCTCCAGAAGTCTCCCAAGGTGGCGCGCTGATAAATTTTCGAGTCCTGCAGATGGGGTTCCGTTATTTCACGGCCTAAAGACTGTGGCATTACGACGAACTCTCCACCTTTGTCGCTAACGGAGATGCGCAGTGTACCGTTTGATCCCAGCTCACGTATTTCTTTGAACCCTTGCCATTGCTCGTATGCCATATTGTTATGGTGAAGCCGCTTGCATCGATTAAAAAGCTTCGAGCCATTTTCAGGCCTCTGAGGAAGACAGGTCGAAACGTTGACCAATAAAAAGTTCACCTAACAACCTCGTTTGGCAGAAGCAACTTAACATTCGCCACCCTTAGTGATGGATGGTAATACATGGATGAGCGTACTTGTCCATTCGAAAATGTCACAATACGGGCAGAGGTAGCGTAGGTCTCCCATGCTTTTCTCATCTAGCATTGGGTTACCATCCACCGTCACCGTCTCTGGTCCTGCTTCTGAACGATCAAAACGATATTTCCGATGAATCCGGAACGATTTCAGCTGGGCGTTGTTACGTATTGTAAGACCTGAAACAGCCTCTTTGATGGTAAGGTTCAATCCAAGATAGCAACACAATTAGTCCCAGTGCTTTTGAGCAGATATGAAGCAGTGACCCGACACCCACGTTAGACGACGGGCAAAAGAGGAATAAATAAGTGACGAGAGCAGGAGGATGGCACTGCTGCCAGCACGCTAATCGCTTACTGTATAAGTGATGTAGTATGTAAAGCCAACTTACCGAACGTACACCGCTAATTTCTGCCGTATTTATCGCGCTGGTGAGTGCGGTGCAGTACTATCGTTTGCGCCTCTTAGCCCAAAGCCATTGCATTCAGTAGACTCCTCCAGGATGATTCTCTGTATATTTCGTTTCAATTCAGCAACTTCCCATCATAGTTAAACGGCAACTGAATTTATGGTGGGATCCTGGCGGGAAAGCGCAGAGCGTAGGGCTGCTGCTGCCAAGGCATGGGTCGGTGCACTGCACGTCATGCACCTGGGATGCCCATTTCCAAAGGAGCAGTGCTCTGGGGTGGATGAGCCACTATGCATGCGTGAAAAGTTGGAATGTGTACGTAGAATGTCATACAAATGTGAGAGGTAGACAAAAACGGAACGAAGATGCGATCAAGGGACTGAGATCAACCTGACAAACCCTTCATGTTGCAAGCAAGACTCCTTTACTCGTTTGCGCAAACTTGTTTTCTGTGGCATCTGGACTGGTTAAATCTGCCATACCTCCTCCTCCCTCGTCCAATCATGGCTATGTATAGCGTATGCGTAAGTGATTCTAAGAACTGAACGAACGTGAAGGTGTTCTAACCAACCTCCGTTCAGATATTCCAATTTCGGTAGTTGCAAATGTCGAAACTCTGTGTTCAGCACGAAGATATGAAAAGAGATGTTACGAGCGTTCGAGAATAGATCATTAAACATTTCTTCAGTCATCATTCTAGCATGAAATTCATTCGAACTATCTTGTCCGAAGGCCAGAACCCTTTTACCGGCACAATCATCGACTAGCGTTTCATAGTCGCTGTCAGTGATTATTTCGTGGTAGGCGGCACATTCTGAAGAAACGAGAACTGAAATAAGGTCGGAATCACCTATGCATTACAATTGAGAAACTACCTTCATCCGAGAGCAAAGCTCCGGCCCGACCAAACAGTACAATGAAACAGCAGGCCAATGTCCGCAGACTGATCTAAATATAGATAGCATCTTTCCTCGATGTAAATAGTAATCTGTTATACATTTCTGGATATGTTTTGTGCAGTTACTTTTAGACACAATTCTCCAATACGAGTCGTGGATGTATGGTTTACTCTGCGGATTTCACGAATTCAGATTTGGAGCGTGCTATCATACATTATAAACAAGCAAGAACTTCTGGAACATTTGCTTCGGCAATACCAACAATTTTTCAGTTGCCACTATCAGCCAACGTGTTTTCTGTACGGATGGTAAACTGACTATGAGTAATCACTGATACTACAAGACCGTTTATGAACCTAACAAATTACTCCTTACATGATAGTTTGTCTTTTTACAAACGACTCACTTGATAACTTGAAAGTGCGCGAAGTTTCAATTTTAGTCCGCTACTTTCAAATCTCGCGCTTTCCGTCATGGAGTAAAACTATGCAAGTGATTTTGAAGGCTGGCCCGCTCAACTTCGATGAGTTATGCGGCTCCCAAGAGAAGTATGGCAAGTCGAAAAGGCCATTTGAAATGAGATGTATACCGACTGAAGCGTCTTTGCACGAGGATTACGGAACCGTCTTCCATATCTGCTGCGGACCTCCCAGAACAAAGTTACGGGGGGGGGAAAGTGCAGTGTGGCATTCAGTGCGTGGGGGTTCATCGCTCGAAGCAGCGTGTGGACACGTTGCAGGTCTCACGGTCATTGCCGAGGGTTTGGATCCTCGATGCGTTTTCTGTTTTGCATTTTTTTTCTACAACGATGTCTATGCATTAAAAGCATTTTTGCTAACTCTTGTGCTCGAGAATGCCGCCAAAGAATATTTCTGAACTGATGGAGCCATTGTGGACGATCCCATGCCGAACACTTGTCTGTTGAATTTGTCACACGAGCCGAAGACTTTCAGCAGATGTCCTCGTCCAATGAGCCACTTTGGGAAAGAACATTTTTCAACACTGCGTGGGTGATGAATGAAGGTTTCTCGCATTATGATCTCGCAAAATTGTCACGTCAAAGCCACATCGTTGGAAACCCTTTCCAAAGATACTCGTATTTATACACAACTTCGTGTGGTTTCGGGTCCAGCCACTTCGTTCGAAGAATAGAGCCATCTTTCAAGGAGAGCGCATCCGTTGAAGAGCACTTCTTTACAAAAACAAGCTTCTTGAAGCAATACAGAAGAAATCAACAGCCAAGAATGAGCAGCATTTACCCTTCACTATCCCAATCATCGGAAATCTGACCAGTTTTAACCGACTTTTTTTTCCGTCGGTAGAATTGGCTAAACATTTGTCCCTGGGGTAGTTTGAGCTCCTGAATATGAATAATACATCCGCTCTTGGCGCTCGCGCCACAGGCGCCGGGCCAGAATACACTGAATCATCGGCGACTGTGGCGCGGGCGCCAGGAGATTTTCGGCCAAGCGGATGTGTTATTCGTATTAGGAGGTTAAACTACTCCAGGAGACAACATTCGAGTCAATTCTATCCACGGAGTAAAAACTCGATGAAGAACTGGCACGCTACCGGATGATTGGGGAGTATAGGGTAAGTAGTTGCCCGAGGAATGTTCTGCATGGAATCGTCCACAATGGCTCCATTCGTTCAGAAACAGTCTTTGGCCGCATTCTCGAGCACTAGAGTTTTGCAAAAATGTTTTTTAATGCACAGAGACCATTGTAGAAAAAATGCAGAACAGAAAACGCATCAAGGATCCAAACCCTCGAGAATGTGTGAGACCTGCAACCTGTCCACTCGGCCACGCTGCCTCGAGCGATGAACCCCACGCCGCTAATTCGTATTGAATGCCACTCTGCACCCTCCCCCCTAAAGAGGCCTCGTAACTTTGTTCTGGGAGGTCCGCAGCAGATATGGACGACGTTTAATTCTCGTCCAAAGACCCTTCAGTCGGTATACATCTCATTTCAAATGGCCACTTCGACCTACCATCCTTCCTTTGTCAGATAGCAATAACAATGTAGCAGTTAACTCAGTACTGAAGATAGAAAAATCAGGGACTCCATGAAGAACCCCATACTAAACTGAGGTTGTACATACTTAAAGGCAACGTCCGCGTACAGTTGAGATTTTCCTCTCCCTTTATGAGCAGGTAGTCAGGTCCGCAGAGGCAACAACTAACCATCTTCACGGCGCAAAAGCGAGTGAGGAGGCCGACGATGCCGTCGTTCTTCTCATTGACCCAACGAATCACTGGCACCGGGAGACGGTAAAGAGGATCGCAATTTGCCGCACTGCCACGCGCGGCGATGGGCGCGGCGTATCCATAGCTCGTTTTAACCTGTCGAACGGAGCCGGACTTCATGTAGACCCCGTTATCGTAGACAGTCATTACTGTTTTCGGTCGTTAATTGCATGTTGTAGCCATTTACTACCTGGACCCATCGTCCTTTGCAGACGAGACGTCTCATGCGACGCCCGCAGCGCGGCGAATTACGATCCTGTTCACATACCCACTGGCACCACCCTCCACTCATTCCTAATGGTTATCTGATGGTGCAGTTGCTTCGCTGCTGCTTCTCTCCTCGTCGAGAGGTGAGAGTGAGGTGATAAGGGAAAACAGCTGATAAACAGGTGGGAACTCGTGCGACCACACCTTCTTTGCGCCTTGAGCACGTACAACCTCATTTAAGCAAGGGCTTCTATATAGAGCCTTCCGTATGACTTCTTTTTGATTGTTCTTCACTGAGGGGTTCCTTGCTACCTTGCTATAAGTGTTCGAGCCGCATAACTCATCAAATTCGAATGCGGGCTCAGCCTTTAAGGCGAAGAGAGGTTCGGTCGCACGAGTTCTCACTTGTTGTTATCTAATCCCTTTTCTCTTATCACCTCACTCTCACCACTCGACGTGAAGAGAAGCAGCAGCGAAACAACCGCACAATCACGCAACCATTAGAAAAGAACACTGGGAGTCGTGGTCAAACTGTGGGCGGAGCGACCAATTCTTCACTAGCAGTCGGCGCTATCCTCTCGCCTTCTTGAGGTGTAAAACTAGTACATCCTGCATAATTATAAGTGCTTCTCAAAAGCTGAGAACCTTACTCAGTACCCTCGACGCATAGCCTAACGCAACCTCATATGAGTTGAGCCCAAGTCTGGGTTGTACTCATCCTGCAGCTTATTCCGGTTGTCGCGAAGGATTCTAGTGTTGAATATTTGATTAGCGCCAATCTTCGAGTGATGTTGTCCTAGTTTTTCACCATTGTGTACAATGGAAAAACTTTGTGGCAAGAATGTTCAGTGATAACGAAAGCTGATTCCCAACGTGGACTATGCACATCAGCTCAACTAAATCCTGCAAGGAGAACAGTGGTCTCAAGAAGGGAAAAACGGTTGGCATGTAAAATAGTCTCAGTTGTGCTGCTGGATTCCGGAAGGGGCGTGACTGGAAACTGATAATATGTTTCTGGCAACCAGTATGGTGTATTCCAGTTACCTTCAAAAAACGGTCGACCTCTTATGTGAGGTTTACTCCCAGAGGCCGGCTGCCTTCCTGCCTCCTCGTGTCTGCCTGTAAAGATATACGCTAAAAGACGGTAGATTTTGCATTGGACGTGTGGTCATTCTCAGCATACCTACAAATTTGAGCAGCTTCTTATTGCTCTCTACTCAGAGCACCAAGGCATCGCCTAGAGAGCACCTAGTCATCTAATTCAAACACGTGGAGACATTTGAAGGAATGACAGGAAAACAAATAAGCTAGCGCTGTGGGATTCTTTGTATCTGGAGACTGATACTTTCACGTATTAGTGAACTTCGAGCAGCATAACCGTAGAAGGAAAACTCGAGAAACGAAACCCATGTGGTCGAAATTGGCACCGGATTATCGAATCGTCACACGAGAGGAGCGGTGCGTAATTTGGTTCTGGGCAGGATCAAAAACTGTCTATTAGGTTGATGCGTATGTTCTTAACCCCGTGTCTGATCCTTCCGTAATTCGTTTGGATGTTGGTGTTTCGTCATCACGTGTGCGTGACCTGTGCATTATACTCTTTTGTCTCACTAGCTTAAAAAGAGTTCAATCACTCGCCCACCTTGCATTTACAGGTCACAATGTCGCACAATTACCACTGTGACAGAATGTACCTGCTCCACTGCCTGGTTTTGCTTCACGATTTCGGCTGGAATGCAAAGGAAGCCCATACCAAGCTAGTGGATACATATGGTGAGGAGAGGACGTCATCTCTTACATGACATGCAAGATTTGGTTCGCCAAGTTCAAAAAAGGAGATTTTTCTCTCGAAGATGCTCCGAAGTCAGGTCTGCCGATGGAGTTGGATTTGGAAGTACTACGTTCCACCGTGGAGGAGGACCCATATCTAACCACCAGGAAAATGCGACTATGCTCGGCTATGATCAATCGGCGATTGCTCGTGGACTAGAAAAGCTCGGCAAGGTAGCAAAGCTTGGTCGATGGGTCTCACATGAACTATCCGCTCATGACCTCTCGAGGAGTGTGGCTACCTGTACTTCTCTCCTCACTTTCCTAAAGAAGCTTCACTTTCTCAACTCGATGATCACTGGAGATGAGAAGTGGGTCCTCTACGATAACCCTGTGAGAAAGCGACAGTGGGTCGACAAAGGAGAACAGCCAGAAGCCTCTCCAAAGGTCGACCTCCACCCCAAAATGGTTCTCCTGTCCTGTTCGTATTCCAGAAGAGGCATGGAGTACTGGAAGCTGCTGGAGAAGGGACAGACGATTGACGCTTCCACATACCTTACCCAGTTGCGGAAATTGAAAGATCACGTCGACCGTACTCGTGGATCGAGCGGAAATCTACTTCCACCATGACAACGTCCGACCTCACACCGCGACCCAGGCCGAGCTGAAGAAGTACGGATGGCTGATGGTCGCCCACCCTTTCCCTCCCCCCCTCTGCCCTAGCCCTGACCTCGTTCCTTCTGACTACTGTTCAGACCTGCAACAGTCTTGAGGGGAAAAAGGTTTGAAACAAAGAATCAGATCAGAAAGACACTCGACGACTTCTTCAAGTCCCAGCCCCGTCGTTCTAAAAGGATGGAATCGACAAGCTGCCTGAGCGCTGGCGTCGAGTAGGAATAGTGATGGTGCATGCCTCTAATCTTCAGGCTGGTTTGCTTTTGAGAAATTTACAAAAAAATTCTGGGTTAAAAACATATGCATCAACCTAATAGAAGGGTTCTTTTATGCCGGCGGTAGAGTAGTCGGTGCGAAAGTTCAGAAAAAGAGGAATAGGGAAAAGCTGTGGCCAAGGAGGACCCTCAATGGATATGGTGCACAAAAAGCGGGTGGATGAAGTCAAGCATCAAACTTCTGATCACAGAGACTGGATCGTTGTCGAGCTTTCTCGCATGATTAGCATTTCTGTTGGCCAAACTAGGATAAGAATAGAGGTAGAGTTTTGCCTGTAATTTAGCCCTTTATGGAATGCGGCACGTATTCTACTTCCATTCAGAAGTGGCTTATTGAATGCGATGTGGCCTATACAATGACTTGCGAGGGCCAAGTCGATGTACAAATTGCTCATTTTCGAACACAAAGCCGATTCGATGTGTGTAGTACCAGTGCTCTCGGCCCAAGACGTCAATCATAATTAAAAGGAAGCCTGGTTCAGTAGGGAAATACGGGTGGACTTATACTCAGAACCCAAACTCACAAGTCATCTTCGGAAGAATGCAGTTACAAAGCCGCCTTAGTTCCATCATGAGGGGTTACGTGGGCTCAAGCGAACGCTCATAGAGGCATCACATGTGACTTCTGAGCAGCTTTTCAAAGAAAAACACTGTCACTGCCGGTGTATTTTGCCTGTTCCTCGACCAAATCGGCAAATGTAACACTATCACATACAACTACAAGAAGCTCATAAATGCTAATCACAATGCTTCGATTCTATCTTGAGGAATGTTCGGAAAGAAACAACACTGATGCCTGGATTCAGTCTCCCTATTCGCGCGATAGCTGTAAGGTTTCAGACGTTCCGATCTACTAAGGCACTACTCGCTGGCAAAAACTGCTACGATCTATCCATCGACAAAATTATCATCAGCACCATCTTATTTGCACTGTTTGAGAAAACGAAGATGCCAGGTGTCTAAACGCTCAATGGACCCTGAGAGCTGGTCATTGATGAGAGCGGAAGCTAACTGACCCAAAACTGGAAATTGCTGTTATCTTTTCTATTTCGTTTAATCGATCTTATATGCTTCAACAGAAAAAAGATGATATTTGACATCAATTCCAGAAATGAGGTTAGCGCCTTCTCTCATCACGTCGCTAAACTACTGAGAGAACAGGAGCAAAGATTCTCTATTAGTAGATTGTCATTTACACGGAAACCTATGGTAATTATCTGAGAACTGCACACTAATTAACTAGATACTTGCGCAGTGTTTTCTATCCGAGCTTAGTCGAAACCGTTGCTGTTTATTCCGCACGTATGCTTGTCAACTCACCTGCATCATGGAACATTTAGGTGTCATTGATTCATTGAAGAAATATGTAACTGTCGACAATACGACGGAGTAAAATTCCGTGAAGGACAGTAGCGGTGTAACGAAGCGTCCAAAATACTGTATTTCCCGTGATGGTGCTTTTAAACACCGTATGGTCCATAAACAATTCTTACGACTTTTTTGAGAAACTTCTTGCCGTTTTGTATCGTCGTAAACATCATTTATTCCTTGAGTTTAAAATTTTATTCTGTGAAAATCTCACAGTACAATCGCTACTAAAGTCGTTTGTTCTGTTATAGATTGTTCTGTCGCTCGAGGTTTTTTGACGGGAGTGAGCGCCAGAACTGCCACTTTACAGAGCCGCATCGGTATATCGTCTTCGGTATTTCCTGTGAATTCGCGAGAGTGAGACAGTCCACAAGTCTGCGAGCCAGACTGCTCATCCAACAAAGGACCCCTGCGACTTGCAGGAGCGCTAAGACTGTCTTTAGATTCTCTCAAAGAACCTAGTGTCCGCTGTTTCCACCAAGTCGAACAAGAGCTTATAAAAAAGAGAAGACATTCGTGATGTTGTCATTTTTTTTCGTGCACTGTGTTTTGCACGAATGCGTCGATAGAACAAATCAGAAAATGAAATATAGGTTGGAATATAGGTTGTCTTGTGTTTTTTTCTTTTTATTTTCTAACTCAACATACAGCGGGAATTAGTCAACAATATATTCGTCTATGACTGCAGTGCTCCACCTCACGGGCAGACGAGCACTCCCGATGTCCCAGAACTGAGGAGGCTGCGAGTAGAGTAAGTCAGCGGCTTCGACTGGTGTCATAAGTTGCTGAAAGTTTTCACAGATAAGAAGGCCTTAAGAAGGTGGAGCAGGAAGCAGTCGTAGAGGACTACGCAAGGATGGTGCGATGAGCGGAGTTTGGTCTCCCAGCCTTGCTCCTTAATCATATGGTAGGTCTCCAGAGCAGGTATGGGGGTCTCGCGTACTACGAACGAGGTGCGTTGAAGCTAGTTTCGGTCATTTTTCTCCAACAACTTCCGCCGGTCTCATTAGCATAGCGATACAAACGGTAGCGGTGATCTGTGTCCTTAGGCAGCTCGCATGCAGCATCCACCTCGCGTCCCAGGAGCAGCACAGGAGAAACTTCTTGGATACATGCCCAGTAAAGACTGCTAGAACGGATCTTCTACACACGGTACTGTGTGGTTTGAAATCACAGAGAACCCATCTGCCATCTCCACTGAGCAGTCTCTCAGAAAACTTTTGACGGGGCGGAGAAGAGGAGACTGACCAAGGGGTACTCCGGTGCCATCGGGCAAAGTATAAGTGATCCATCGAGCCAGTACTTTTCGGCAGTCAAGGGCTCACAAGCGGTTGACGACTGTCGGTTAGGTACACCCGAGTCTTGTCGCGAGACTGCGGGTGGTAACCTCCTTGACGGTTTCATGAAGTGGAAGACTCCACCATTCTCAAAGCTGTCAAGGATCCTCTTTGACAGCTTTGAGAATGGTGGAGTCTTCCACTTCATGAAACCGTCCCAAGCAAAGTTTGTCTTCGTTTGACGTGTCCCCTTTCACGAAGCGAGCAAACCAAAGGTAGAAGGCCCTGATGGTAGTGGTGTCCTCCGCCAATGCACTGCTGACGTTGCGCACCTCGAGCTGCCGCTCTCCACTGCCGCGGGACCACCCATAGAACTTGATGACTCGAAGATGCTCCTGTGAAACTGACGTCGTAATTAGACCCAGGAAAGTGCAGGCGCCCTCACACAACTGTTGCAGGAAAGCTCCCAGAATGTTTTACAAGCATGGCATGTTACGCCATGTTCAAGCATCAACAACCGAAAAGTGTAGAGAAACACTGACAGGACTTTCCTTCCAACCTAATAATCACGCATCCCTCTCACCTGCTTTGATTGAATTGGTTCCTGAAATGAGGATGTCTCTGTGGCTAGCACAGTGTCACGCTGGAAGAGTTCTCCATTCCAAGGTGGTTATGTTCGCTTGCTCATGCACGACCAAGACTAAACAATTTTTCTTGTTGTACGAGTTTTGAGCTGGAAGATGCAAAAGATTGTGAGCCTTCGCAGAGAAGAATTCTGCCTAACAACAAACCTAGAAGGGGAGGGAGCTGTAAAATTCTATAATCGATTCCCAGCTCGAAACTGCCCGCTCCCGAATAGGTTCAGGCAATACGACTTTTTCTGACCGCTTTTAGACTCTTCCTGACCGCCTGCAATCAGCAAAAGGTGGTTGATTGAAAATATATTGCAGGAATGTACCACCTATTTAGGACCAGCGCTTGCAAAATTTCGGACAAAACTCTCAGCCTCTACAAGGCTTACTATGTAACGTGCACAGCATGCTTGGTGTGTGACCACACAGGAGGGGTTCTTATTCATTATATATTTATTGATTCACCTTTGTTTATTTATTTACTGCGCGCCTAACGGACGTGATTTAGTCGGTTACGGGCGAAAGGGGAGTAATTAGAACATGAGAGACTAGCTCAGTCCACCTTAAACAATAAAACAAAAAGCGGCAGTAATATACGGAGACTGGAACGGTGGCACAGAAATAGTTAGAGCCTTGAGAATATATCCCAGGCCGAACGAGGTTTGCATCGAAGAGCTCACTAGTCAAGAAGTACGCTTTGGTGCTGTATGCATTCTCGGTCCGTGGGACAAACGAAGGTTAGGAGCATCGCATCGAAAATATCGGGAGCATCGCTTCACATCATGACTAGACCTCATACCTCCCTCTATCATCGTCTGCTATGATGCTCATTTGCTACCTTCGAGGCAATAGGAGCTCACCGAGAGTTCGAAACACAACACAACTTCGCACTTCCCAAGCGAGTTAAGCGTCACGTGCGAAATCACAGGTGCGAGCAAGACAGGACACCTCGGGAACTCACCAGCTATCAAGAGATTCGGAGAGGAGCGGGTGATTTAGTATGCATTGACTGTTCACAAATGCGTCAGAACGCAGTTCCGTAAAGTGAACTATCAGACCGCTCAGCGCAACTTAATAAAACGGAGATTGCAAAAAGTGTGGCTATCGCATCGGGATTTCAGTGAACAGGATCAGCGGTAAGTGAGGGGATCAGTAACATCAGGAGACATCATGGATTCTTAATAGTTTTGTATCTTGGACTGATCTGAATCACTGATCTCCATTAGTCAAGCAGGATGGGACTCACACCGTTTAGCGGTTCGTAGTGTGATATAGTTTGCTCTCAATTTACGATGCCACACGGCCATTTCGAGATAGTAAAATTAAAATGTGTCTCCTAGCCTAGAGTCGACTAAAACGTCTAATGTTCGGAAGTACGCAGTCCGCTCTTTAGTAGTTTTAATGCAGAACCAAACCGCACTGAACATGATCACAAAAAGGCTCCTTGGGATAAATTTTTTCAGTGCTTGCTGAAATGGCACGTGGTCGCGAAGGCTACAGAACAGTATTTCAGGATACGTTCTCTAAAACTTTGCGATCATTTGAATATCCCTTGTTGAAGAAGGGCTCAAAACAGCTGCAGTATTCACTTACGGTTGGACATGAATTTTGTAAAGCTTGACCTATGTTGATATGTCAGGGGTATGCATGTTCCAGAAAAGAAGGGTGTCAGCCCAAGCGTTTCTTTTTCGAAGATGTCATTGAGAGTAGACCGCGACCCACGGCGATCCTTGGCATCTTGTTTTTTTTGTGTGCTCTCAGGCCTACACCGCATTCCAAAAACCTACCGAGAGACGGGAATATGGTTTTTGGTCTGCATATTTTGCCGGCTGCATTCCAAACCGCTGATTCACCTGCTTATCTTTTCAGTTTGGATTCGCTTTTCTTCACTGTAAGATTTTGCCTCCGTACAGCTGAACAGCTTCAAATCATCTTTAGAACTCCTCGACTGAAGTACTTGAAAGTATTGAGGTAGGAGTTTTGATAATTCACGGCCGATCACCTTTGGCCCTGTCATGTGGCCATTCAAATCACACGTGCCTTTGTTATATCATTCGTTGAGAGAGAAATCAAAGCGCCTATTTGGACGCTGGTAGAATCCCACAGATTATCGGTCGTCATAATTGTTAACAAGGCAAATTCAGCGCATCTCATAACTATAAACATGACAATCTGTACAATTGCGGTGAATAGTAGCTATGAATAAAATGTATCATGGGATACTTGAGTTCAAACATATCAACCTATCATAGCATATCATAGCGAGCATATCAAACTTCTTCTCGTTTTCTAGTAGAACAAAACTGTCCAAGCTTCGAGAGACAACATTTCGAATCCGTAGTTCTTCCTCAGATCTTCGAGCACAATCTGTCAAACAACATGCGTAAACAGCAATACTTAGAGCTACACAAGAAACCACGGAAACGAGATATTGTTAACAGAGGCACAAACAACGGGTTCTGCACTGAAGCGAAACCACGTGAATCGCTGCAAATACCGTAGGACGGGCACTGAAGGGGAGGAGAGAGACAGGGAGACATGCGGGAATACCTCTCCTCTAACTGGAGCGGGAAAGATGATAGCAACTATAAGTCACCATATGCCACATGATGATCACCTAGCCACATACTACGCACTGTTCATCTCCATATTCATAGCAGTTCCTCATTATTGTTGATTGGATGATGTTTTCATCGATGCCTCTTCTTCTTTCCGCAGGCTGACACACGCTTTTGTAAATCCCGCTTACCTTTATTTCGGGTGCGCTAGTGTAAGTGGTAAATGAAGCGCTGCCTCAAAAACTCTCTGGATAGCTGCTGCTTATGTGGAGGGCCCTCACATTTTTGCCTTTTTTTTACCCTGGAATGTAGTTCAAGGCGTGCCCCGCTTTCTCAAAACGATTTCTAAATTTCGATAACTTCTTTGCAGCGTCCTCCTTTTCACATCTGTTCACAACGAGTGCAGCCATAAACACTAACACACTAGCCATAAGCTCCGTCTGTGAACCAGCAACCATTTTGCGAATTGTGCAAAAATTTTGATCTTTTTTGAAATTTGTC